AGGTGTTGTGGGTCTATTTAAGACGCAAAGGAGCAAAGCTGATTTTTTTTTACAATGGACGAGTGACAAAGGTTTTGAACAAGGTAACTTGGCACCATGGAGATGGTCTCTAGACTTTCTGGGAAGTGAACAAATGGGCAGTAAGAATCATTTAAGAAAACATGTGTGTGTGTGTGTGCTGGTCCTAGGGCTTGAACTCAGTGTTTGGGCTCTGTCCCTGAACTTCTGTTTTGCCTAACATTAGTGCTCTACTACTTGAGCCACAGCTCCACTTCTGGCTTCCCTCCTCCCCCCCAAGTAGTTTAGTGGTTTGTTGTTGTTTTTTTTTTTGGGGGGGGGGTCTGGTTGTGGGGCCTGAACTCTGGGCCTGGGTGTTGTCCCTCAGCTCTTCAGATCAAGGCTAGCACTCTACCACTTGAGCCACAGCACCACTTCCAGCTTTTTTCTTTTTGCTTATGTGGTGCTGAGGAATCGAACCCAGGGCCTCAGGCATGCAAGGCAAGCGCTCTACCACTGAGCCACCTTCCCAGCCCCAGTTTAGTGGAAATAAGAGTCTCACAGACTTTCTGCTTAGGTTGGCTTCAAACTGTGATCCTCAGATCTCAGCTTCCTGAGTAGCTAGTATTACAGGTGTGAGTTTGGCTAAGAAAACTTGAGAGCTAATAGTTGAAAATTCAGAGCCGGGAAGGGATCAAAGCTATTCTAGTTCCCTGAGTGTAAGGATTCCATAAAATATTACATATGGTTAACTTGCATTGGTTCCAAAGTCCAGCATAATCTCTGTCCTTATGCATTTTAACATGAAGGAAATGTATATTAGTGCTCAGTTGCCTCCACTTTCAGTGGAGTTATTATTATAGTCCTAGTATGGTTTTGGAGTATTTTTCATGTCTCTATATATTCAGACATATATATGTGTATATAATTTACACACATACATACATAAACCATATCCTAATCCCTCCTCTGTCGCCTCCCACCAAGTGACATTACCCCATAGACAAAATTACATCAAACTGAACAACACCCTTCGAAGGTAGATATTGTTAGGTCCTTATATTTTAAACCAAAGCTTTAATGTTTGCAGCTTGAGGCAGGGCTCAAGTGGTAGAGCATCTCTGCCTAGAAAGTGCAAGGCCTTGAGTTCAAACCCTAGGATCACCAAAAAAAATAAGATGTTATAAAACATTAATGTTCTAATTTTACACTGATTCCAATGCTTACATAAGACAGACCATTATCATAATAAAGGCAACTTGCATCCAGCTTCTTCAAAGTATAAAAATCTCTTCAGCGTATGGCTGGCTTGGTGGGGTACAAATCTCCTACAGCTTGGGTAAATCAGAGGCACAGTCTTAGGAATTTATGAGCTCACATAAGTCTAAAGCCTACACTTCTCTTGTAGGCTCTTCCAAGTCCACAGTCTTTAGAGTGTTCCAAGCATTCTTAGAACCATCCACCTTAAAAAGTCTTTTTCTAGCTAGGCACTGGGGGCTACTTAGGCCTGTAATCCTAGCTACTCAGGAGACTGAAATCTGAGAATGGCTGTTTGAACCCAGTCCCCAGTATGAAAGTCCAAGACTCTTCTCCAATTAAACTCCCAAAAGCCCAAAGTACAGCTGTGGCTCAAGTGGTAGAGTGCTGGCCTTGAACAGAAAAACTCAGGGACGGTGCCTAGATGCTGAGTTTAAGTCCCAGGATACTCTCTCTCTCTCTCTCTTTCTCTCTCCACACACACACACACACACACACACACACACACACACACACTAAGTCATTTTCCTACCCATGGGCTCAGGTATAGCCTTTGGTTTGGTTTCAAGTTCAAATCACTCGGCCCATCTGATATCTATCAACAGAGATTTCTTAACTAGACTCATTGTACCAATGTAAAAATAGATTCTAATTCTTTAAGTGATGAGCTATCCCTATGTATGGCTTACTTTCTGCTCTTGATGCTGGTTTTTAGTACAAAATTTTCACTACTCCCCCCCTTTTTTTTCTTGAGTTCACAAGTCCTAATTCTGAAGCTTTGAGTATTGAATCTTCTTAAGAGTCCTGAAGATCTTCTGAATCTTTCACAAATCTTGTGTTCTGGAATTTCCAACACTCTAGTAGAGACTCAGGTACCTTTCAATACACTGAAATACTGTTGTGGTGGTCCTTCTGCTTGGCTGGGATATGTCTCAGAAGTATTGCTCTTTTCTTTCTTCTTTTTTTTTCTTGGTGCTGGGGATTGATCCCAGGGCCTTGTACATGCTAGGCAAATCCTTTACCATTGAGCTACACTCCAACCCAGAAGTACTGCTTTTCCTCCAAAACTCAGGTGTAGCAGAGGGGAGAAAAAAGCAGAGGGCGATAATAATTTTACAGATGTTTATGTCAGTGTAAGATTTGTTAACAACAACTGATACTAATACAACTGAGTAACTGAGTAAGGTTTCGTATCTTCAAATATTTCTTTGTGCAAAAGAAGGCTGAGGTCCTTTTGGGGCTGTTTGCTTATGGGTGGGCCTCGTAAAACGACAAGTAAAACGGCATTCAAAGGTGAGATATTTTGCTACTGATGAAGCCAAGCCTTGAAGAACAGCTCAGAATGGGCACAAAGCACGATTACATGAATACCCAGGGTGGTATTTCAAATCACCACAGGGAACATTTAGAGAGTTAGTTCTATTCTCTTTCCACCTTCACCCCAACTCTGTCACCTTGGCTGCTAGGGAACTTTCTGTGGGTTTGGTTGGTCCCCTGATTGTGGCCTTTTGGGTATGTGGTGGGAGCCTGCATTGTAAGAGGGCTGGTGGGAAAGGAAGGAGAGACACCTACAGGGTTCATGTGTGGGGGCTCAGGGGAGTGTTAGCTAGCACAAGGAGTGTGCACAGAGGAAAGTGTTTCTCTCCCTTGGCAGTGGTAACCGCTATGTCCCGCTGGATCGAACTGCAAGACCTCAGCATGTGTAATTCCCACAGAAACGTCCTCACTGGTGTCAGTGTCAGTGTCAACTGAGCCTTAGGATACCACCATGAAAGTGCATGGCCTATGAAGGAGAATAGAAGTCCATAGTCACAGGCCTAAGGAGTTTCTGTTCTGCAGAGTTCCTGGGCTGGTCGATGGGCCATCTTGAGTTGACTACTCCCAGTTTACTTGCTCTTGTTCCCCTGAAGAGCCAACAGGATATGTGATACTTTGAGCTTATAATAAGCAACTTTTTACAATGAGTGTGAACACTCCAACACAGCTGGCAGCCAAGTGCTACAGAACACAATGATACACTGAAGATGACACATGGAAACACACCTCGCCTTCTGCTGAAGTCACAATTGGGACTGTTGCCATGGAATTTCATAAATCCTTTTTTCCTGAGATATATGCCATGATACAAAGAAGGCTAAGCTATTTGTGCAGTCTAGGGTGGAACATGTTAATTACTGGCAGCCCATAAATGAGTTGAGAGAGAGCCGAATGCATAAGCCCTTTAGAAACAAAACACTGATCTACCAGGAATTTGGGATTCTTGGCTCTGGTGAAAGTGTTCATAAACCTGGCTGTTAATTTGTAAATAGATTCCATGAAGTTATCCCTGGAAGCAGAATTTATTTACCCCAACACAAATTCTTAAAAAAGGAAGAAGAGGGTTGGGAATGTGGCTCAGTGGTAGCATGCTTGCCTAGCATGCAGGAAGCCCTTGGCTTAATTCCTCAGTACCACATAAACAGAAAACCTGGAAGTGGTGCTGTGGCTCAAGTGGTAGAGTGCTAGCCTTGAGCAAAAGAAGCTCAGGGACAGTGCCCAAACCCTGAGTTCAAGCTCCGGGACTGGCAAAAAAAAAAAAAAAAGAAGAAGAAAAAGAAGAGGAAGAAGAGAAGAGAGAGAAGGAAAGAAAGAAAGAAGAGAAGAAAAAAGAAAGAAAGAGAAGAGATGAGATGGTTGGGTTGAGCAACAGTAGGTGCCAATTTGTATATTCACATTGAGCAAGATCAAATGCCTTCCTGCTTGTTTGTTTTTGTTGTTCCTTTCCACCATCTTTTTCAAATTCACAACTCAGTGGTCAAAGGAAAAACTTCACACAGTAACATTTTTTTTTTTTGTCGGTCATGGGGCTTGAACTCTGGGCCTGAGCGCTGTCCCTCAGCTCTTCAGCTCAAGGCGAGCGCTCTACCACTTGAGCTATAGCGCCACTTCCAGTTTTCTGGTGGTTTATTGGAGATAGGAGTCTCACAGTCTCTCCTGCCCGGGCTGGCTTTGAACCGCGATCCTCAGATCTCAGCCTCCTGAGTAGCTAGGATTACAGGGGTGAGCCACCAGCGCCCGGCACACAGTAAAATTTTTATACCCAAGAAATGTGAAATCTATTTTCATAAATGGATTCTTCTGCTTAATACCACACATTAAGTGGTTAAAAAAATAACTTGGGGTTACAGTATATAAATTTAAAGCTGGAAGGGACTTTTAAGAAGGTCTGTAGCCACCTCTCATTTTATGAGTAAGGCAACTTAGTTTTCCGAGTTAAATGATTGGCTCAGAGTGATATACTAATTAGTGGCAAAGACAGAATCAGCAGATGAGTGCTGTGACCTCTTTTCCACGGCTGACTTTAAAAATGTCATAGTGCTTCTTGACAGCAATGTTCGATACATCTGTAGAACCCAGGTCAGACTTTCAGACTTTCAGGAGTTTGTGTGGAACATAGCAATTCCATTAAAACTGTGTGTGTATTGGTGCAGTGGGGGTGGAGGGGGGCTGGGGGGGAGTGGGGCTCAACAAGAGCCACACCTGTCTGATCTAGCAGAACCTGTGAGCAGCAGGATCCCTGCACCACCTCATCTTTTTTTTTTTTTTTCTTTTTTTGGTCATGGAGCTTGAACTCAGGGCCTGGGTAGTACTATCCCTGAGCTTTTTCTGCTCAAGGCTAGCATTCCACCACTTTGAGCCACAGCTCTACTTCTGGTTTTCTGTTGGTTCATTGGAGATAAGAGTCTCACAGACTTTTCCTGCCTGGGCTGGCTTTGAACCACGATCCTCAGATCTCAGCCTCCTGAGTAGCTAGGATTACAGGCATGAGCCACTAGCGGCCAGCTCCCACCCCAGTTTGAAGCTCAGCTCTGAGCTTCTACACACCTAGAGTCTGTCTCTGATTCTTCCCCTTAGAGAACTGAAAGCTAAGCAGTATAGTTTGGATCCTTCATTTCTTGTGTATGAAAGGAGTCATTTTCAAGTTGGCTTTGGGTCCATGAAGGAGATAAGAACTTTTAGATTGCTTATGGGTATTGGTTTTGCATAAAGCATTTCCTCTCAAACCCTTGTCTGCCTTTTTTTTTTTTCCCCCGAGGCTGGGGATTGAACCCAGGGTCTTGTGCATGCTATGCAAGTGCTCTGCCACTAAGCTATGTCTCCCAGCCTGCTCTGCCAATCTTGATCAAAGGAAATGGATGCCACCGCCACTGCTACCTTCAAAAAAAGACCCTCTGGCGTGTGAGAGGTATGCTGGATTAGAAACCAGGGCTTCTTTTGGCATGGGCTTTCTTCTATAGGTAACTGGCTCAGCACAAAGCAGCCCAGCTTTTTGTTGGCAATGGGAAGAAAAAGGGTAGAAGCAGCAGTGTCATCAGATGGCTTATTTTCTTGCTGGTGTGGTAAGAAGTATATTGGTGCTCTGATAACAGACTCTTCAGTTACTGGTAACAGACAGTGTTTTTTATGGCTTTTCTTTTCCTTATTGCTGGATTCTAACTTGGGACGGGGCAATTATGGCCTCACCCTTCAGCCTTGTATTAAGTATGGAAGGGCAAGGCTAGCTGGTCAGCTCTTCCTCTCTGTGAGTTTGGGCATCAACCCAAAAGGCTTTTCCACATATGGCTGATGGATTGCAGAAAGAATGTCTCATGCAGCACCACTCGGGGACTGTTCCAACTGGCAGCAGACTTCAGTGGATGGCCTGCTTCACGGCTGCAAAAAACAATGGCCAAACGCTTCTTTGGCTTTTACATCCCACCAAATCCAATGGAGAAGAAAACAAAGGTTTCATCAAAGTCACCACATAATAGATCTGTGAACCATTTCTGAATGTAGACAGTGTTTCTCTGGGTCTCCATATGCACACGACCCTTTGGGTACTAAAAATGTTCTTGGAAGGAACAGGGGGTTGAAAGCAGTCTATTGGGTAGGGTTATCAGGTTGTTTTGTTTTGTTTTGTTTTTTAAATGATGATGACTCTTTAGGCAGGATTTATGAGCCAGACACTCACTTCAGCATGACTCTGTGCTCTCCTCTGGCTATGTGAGAGGAGAACTCATAACGGTCGTGGCTTCGATATCCACACATATTACACTCGAAAGGGTCACGGAAGCCATGGCAGCCCATGTGGATGGTAAACATCACATAATCCAGGAAGAGCACGCGGCAGTGGTCACACCGAAACACATCCATCACCTCCCCTTCCTTGCTGATCACATTGATGGAGTCCCTAGGGCAGATGGGAGGGGGCTTCAGGAGGTCATAAGAGCGGGGGAGCTCCTTCAGAAGTGGGATTCCATTGCGGGCCCGGGGAAGGACCAGGTGACTTTGCTGATAGAGTTGACTCTGGCGCTCTTCGTGATTGCTGTCCGTGTCCGTGGAGTCGTGGCCACTGTTATTAGGGGACAGGCCTCTTTCAGAAGGCAGGCTCTTCTCTGGCAGATGAGTGGTCTTCTTTTCCAGCTCCTGGGGGGTACCATTCGACATCTCAGCCCGGGTGAGGGCTATGGGGTACATGCTACTGATGACTGGGACCATCTCAGAAGTGGGAGCAGGTGGGGTCTGGACAAGGGGGCGCAGGGCTTCAGCCCCGAGATAGCTGATGGCATTATTGATGGTGTGATCCATCATTCTGGTCTGTATGATCTCACTCTCTTTCTCGTACATGTAGTTGGAATTGTAGTTGCCATCAAAGCATTGGCGCTTCTCCCCTGTGACAGAGAGAGGAAGGGTTACAAATGCAGGCATACACAGGCAGAGAACACACGAATGTGTTTTCCAGAGTCACCAACCCATGAGAAAGATTGCCAGGTCCTGGTGGCCTCCTCCTGTAATCCTAGCTATTCAGGAGGTTGAGATCTGAGGATCAAGGTTCAGAGGCAGCTGGAGCAGGAAGGACCTGTGAGACGCTTTTCTCCAAATAACCACTAGAAAACTGGAAGTGGAGCTATGGCTCAAAGTGGTAGATCACTAGCCTTGAGCAAAATCGCTCAGGGACAGTGCCCAGGCCCTGAGTTCAAGCACCATGACTAGCACACACACATACACACACACAGAGTGAGGAAGGCTAAGATGCTGCTTAGTTCCACAGGGAGCTGAAGTCTCAGGGGCTGTTGCTCAGCAGTCATATTGTTCGGGCACAAGGAAGGGGTGGAGACATCCTTGGGTAGAAGCCTGCCTCTCACATGAGGGGCACAAGAGACAGAAGACACCAGATGGGGCTGAGAGGGCAGGGATTTAGGGTCTGTGAACAGCCTATTTTCAAACTCTTATTTAGCTTGTTATTTTCTGCTTGTAATATTAGAGGCCCAAAAGTGCTATAACTAGCCTGGGCAGCGTTAAAAATAGTTACAGAGGTAGAGAAAATAGCCCCCAAACTGCCTACTGCTCAACTCACCAGCCACCTAAGTTAAAAGAGCTCCAAATGTTCCAAATGCTAGAAAATCCTTCTGAAGGAGAAATCTGCACCTTCATTCTTTCCTGAACTGTTTTTCTCCCTTTCTCTGTCTGTCTTGTCTCTCAGATAGGGTCTTGTTAGCTCAGGCTAGTCTTGAACTTGTGATCCCCCTGACTCCTCTTAGATACTGGGCATTGGGCATGTGCCACTGTACCCAACACTGTGTGTTGCTCTCATTTGCTTGAGAGATGCATCCTAGCTCACCCCTAGCTCATTCCTCACGGAAGACATTTATTTGTGGCCACTCTCTTGAATTTCTCAGGTCAGACTGCTGAGAAATTCTGAAAGCAGAGCGAGCCCCCAGCAGGTCTTGTGGATGCTGTATATTGGAGGCTCTCTGGCCACAGAGGTGTCAGGGCCCGTGTCTGCAGCTGTGGCAGTTCAGTGGCTCCATGGCTGGGAGGAAGATGAGAGTACATTGGAGATGAGCTAGTACTGGACTTGCTAAGGTCATTCTGTTGACCTTGGGCTCTGGAGAGATTTGCTGACCCTGTCTTTCTTTTTAGTGTTTCCTAGGCATGTTGGGGTTCCAGAATCTATCACTGCTGTAGAGCAAAGAGTTCAGAAGTGAAAGAAAGAAACACCACCACAAGACACAAAAGGGCTGGAAGGAATAGTTCCTTTTCTTGAGGTGTCTCCAACCTAGCAGGGGAAAACTAAAACTTCTGTTACTGGGTGTGGTTGCTCATGCCTATAATCTTAGTTACTCAGAAGGTTGATATCCGGAGGGCTGCAGTTCCACACAGGCTCAGGCAAAAAGTTCTTTAGACCTTCCCCTATCTCAACCAACAAAAAACTGGATGTGATGGTACATATTTGTCATCTCAGCTATGCAGCAAGAATAAATAGGAGGATCGCGGTCTAGGCAGTATAGGCCAAGTGGTAAAAAGCTGAATGCCAATAAAAGCAAGCAAACAAATAACAACAACAAAACTAAAGCAGCCAGGTACTGGTGGCTCATACCCGTAATCCTAGCTATTCAGAAGGCTGATATCTAACATGAGGATCATGGTTAGAAGCCAGCCTATGCAGGACTCTGATCTCCAATTAACCACCAAAAATCCAGAAGTGGAACTGTGGCTCAAGTGGTAGATTGCTAGCCTGGAGCACAAAAAGCTCAGGGACAGCGCCCAGTCCCTGAGTTCAAGTACAAGAACAAAACAAAAAACTAAAGCAAAAAGGACTGGATGTATAGCTCAAGTGGTAGAGTGCCTGTCTAGCAAGCAAAGGCAAGATCAGTTTGCTGTAAAGTGTAATTAAAGTCTACAGGGAATGCAAACATTCTGCAAGCACTTTGGAGGAAGGAAAAGCCTTCTTGGAAAATCTAAAATTTGAGAAGAGCCTTGATAAGCTTGTAGGACTTAGATTGTCTGAGAGGGGAAAAGAGGACATGCTGGTTGAGAGGGGGGAGCAGAAATGAAGGCAGACATGGGACTTGACAGGGAAGAGTAGGAGAGTATTGAAATAAAGTTCTCCTCGAACTTCCCTTACTGTCCACTCTGTGGTATTCCCACAGGGCAGTGCTGAACAGGCTCCAGAGTCACACACACACACACACACACACACACACACACACAAACACACAGGCTCCAGAGTCTCTCTCTCTCTCTCACACACACACACACACACACACACACACACTACTTTGGTACTGCTTTGGCTCCATTGGTTACTAGTCGTATGGCTTCATATGATGGTCACAGTAACCGTGAGTTTGTCCCAATATCCGTGACTTTGTTCCAGTATCACTGGAAAGTGCTTAGAGCAGTTCCTGGCACTAAAACACTCCTTGTTAAATGCCAGAGGCTTTCCCCCCCTTCTTTGTTTGTTCCAATCAACTCATGTTTTCTATTTTATTTTTTTTGAGACAAGGTCTTGCGACATAGCTGAGGCTGGCCTTCAACTCATGATTCTTTAGCCGTAGGAGTTTGGATTACAGGTATGTGCACCATGCCTTGCTAAAATAAAAATTTTAAAGGAAACTTTATATCGCTAACATGAATGGAAAACTAGAATCATCCACCACAAATAGAAAGTAACTATGAAAAACAAAGACAAGGAAACAAAATGACTTATTAAATTTTGATCAGATACTACTGTGAATACTTGGAAGCTAAGTTTCCCTCTTTTGGTGAAAAACAAAGATTACCAAGTGTGAGATTAGTGTTAAACACAAACAGCATTAAACTAAGGCTGAATCTTTCCCCTTGTATCACTGATTTCCTTTATATTGAAAGAGAACTGAAAAGAAAAAGATTGTCTTTACTTTGCCATGTCATTTTTTTTTTTTTTTGGCCAGCCCTGGGGCTTGAACTCAGGGCCTGTGTGCTGTCCCTGAGCTTTTTTGCTCAAGAGCCACAGCACCACTTCTACCTTTTTTAGTGGCTCACTAGAGATAAGAGTCTCATGGAGGGCTGGGAAGGTGGCTCAGTGGCAGAGTGCTTGCCTTGCATGCCTGAGGCCCTGGGTTCGATTCCTTAGCACCACTTAAGCAGAAAAAGCTGGAAGTGGCACTGTGGCTCAAGTGGTAGAGCACTAGCCTTGAGCTGAAGAGCTGAGGGGCAGCGCCCAGGCCCAGAGTTCAGGTCCCACGTCCAGCAAAAAAAAAAAAAAAAAAGAGTCTCATGGACTTTCTTGCTCATTTTGGCTTTGAATTGTGATCCTCAGATCTCAGCCTTCTGAGTAGCTAGGATTATAGGCATGAGCCTTTAGCACCTGGCTGGAATGTTTTTAAATGTCTTGTATGCTTTCTGGTAGCTTACATCCTGCATTTTGGAAAATAGTCGGGGGAAATTACACATGGTGGGGCAAAATGATGGGCATTTGAATAGCCAGCCACAGGGTTTAAGTTTAAACACATAGCAAATAACTACATGTTAAGAACAATGTAAAAGAAATAGGCCAGAAGACAACAAACCAGAACCCTGAGTGACTGAAGGCAGAGGTCAGCTGGAGTTAATTTAATCAGGTGGGTTTATCCTTCATCCACATTACTGTAAACTCAATCTGACAGTTTGGTTCTCCCTCCCTCTCTTCCACTTCCCTCTCTCCCTTCCTTCTTCCCTCCTTTCCTTCCTTCCTTCTTTCCTTTTTTCTCTCTCCCTGTTTTGCTTTTTTTTTTTTTTTGTCAGTTGTGAGACTTGAACTCTGGGCCTGGGTGCTGTCCCTCAGCTCTTCAGCTAGGCTAGTGCTCTACCATTTGAGCCACAGTGCCACTTCTGGCTTTTTCTGCTTATGTGGTGCTGAGGAATCGAACCCAGAGCCTCATGCATGCAAGGCAAGCACTCTACCACTGAGCCACATTCCCAGCTCCTGCTTTTTCTCTTTTTTTTGGGGGTCTGGTCGTGGGCCTGAACTCTGGGTCTGGGCACTGTTCCCCAGCTCTTCAGCTCAAGGCTAGTGCTCTACCACTTGAACCACAGCGCCACTTCCGGCTTTTTTCTTTTTGCTTATGTGGTGCTGAGGAATCGAACCCAGGGCCTCAGGCATGCAAGGCAAGCACTCTACCACTGAGCCACCTTCCCAGCCCCCACTGCTTTTTCTCTTTCCCTTTCTTCTTCTTGTTCTCACTCTCCTTTTCTCTCCATCTTTTCTTTCCTTTCTTCCTTCCTTCCTTCTTCCTTCTTTCCTTCATTCATTTCTTCCTTCCTTCTTCCCTTTCCTTTCTGTCTCAATCTTTTTCTTTCTTCCTTCCTTCCTTTCTTTCTCTTCCTTCCTTCCTTCCTTCCTTTCTTTCTTTCTTTTTTTCTTTCTTTCTTTCTTTCCTTCCTCTTCTTAATTTCTGTGTACTTCTAGGGTTTGAACCCAAAGCCCTGAGCGTAAGTGCTCTACTGCTTCAGCACTCCACATCTTCCCCATTAAAAAAAATTTTTTTTGTTTATGAGATAGGGTCTTGCTAATTTTTCCCTGGCTGGTCTTGAATTCAAGATCCTCCTGCCTCCTGAATAGCTGAGATTATAGATAGGCACCATAATACCTGGCTCCTCAACCTGATATTTTCTAGACAAATACTTAAGAGGAAAAACAATAACCAAAACTAAAATACCCTCTCTTGGCCACTCAATAGGAAGCTACAGAAATGTATATCTTTTCCAAAGTAATTGAGGGTTCTTATTTTTTTTTATTTTTTGGGTCCGGTCGTTGGGCCTGAACTCTGGGCCTGGGCGCTGTCCCTCAGCTCTTCAGCGCAAGGCTAGCACTCTACCACTTCAGCCACAGCGCCACTTCCGGCATTTTTTCTTTTTGCTTATGTGG